TTTCCTGCGCAATGAGATGTTGAAAGCTTGACCATCACTCCATCAGACCGTTGCCAATTCGTGCAATCAACCGTGTGGCTGGTGTCAGACCCAAGGCCATTTCCCGTATACCGCATCCATTGGCTGTATAACTCTTCGTCAGCTCTAGCCTGGCACCCAATACAAGAAACAATTGAACAGGTCTGCAGACTACCTTGAAACAAGAACTTGCAAAGTAGGTCAGCTAACGTCAACGTAGGCTCTAGAGTGTTCAGATTTTTCCTAATATCGTGCTGGTAGGTCACAGGCGCATACAGCCTGGCATTGGATTTACTCACAGAAAAGAATACGTCGCAACGGACCAATCATGTGGCCTTCAGTACCAGCTTACAGAAGCTTTTCCAACGTAGCATGTCCTTCGGGTGCAAAGTGTGAGCTGCCGCACTGCATCTTCGGTCACGATTCTACAAAATCCACTACAACACGACGATCTCCACCGCCAGCTGCAGCAACATATGATCCGGAGCCAATCGCGAAGAGACTGAAGCTTGACCACGACAATAAAGCACCCACTATCACCAAGCCTACGCCAGCCCAGAACACGCCCGATGTCTCGGTCAGCACGGACATACCCAAAAATAAGACACCGACAACAAACAATGGGGCTGCGGCTGTTAACCCTGCCCCTTCTAAAGCATCTGTCACGGTTGCCACTATCTCTACTCTCCCTAAGTCTGCCACACGGCCAGTATCACCGCCTCCGGCTACAACTGCGCCCAAGGCTACCGTCAAACCCGATGCTCCTGTTGCCTTGATGCCACGCAAACTCAACAAAGAACCAGCCACCTTCACCAAACGGGTCGCTCTGCTTAAGGCGCTACACTCCTACATGAAGCCGCAGAACGATAAGCTTCTCAAAGCAGTCAAGCCTGAGATCAAAGCCCTGCATCTATCCGCAAACCAGCTAAACAAGCTAGCAGTTGACGAAGAAGAAAGGATAGCTACATCAAACCCCTCGGTATACGAGAACATACTCAAGCAGCGATTGGTCAAGCTGAAAGGCATGCCGGCAGAGGAATGGGTAAAGGAACGGCGCGATGCGGTAGCCAAGGAGAGTGGAGAGCCACCAAAGAAAGCACCACCTAAGAAGATAGACACGAGTCTTACAGCGAAAGAAGAGGTGACGTTCCTCCCCCGGCTTGTGTGCCCGCAGGATGGATTAGACCAGCACGGCTATGTGACCAAGGTACCTGCTGAGGCCGATCTCAACGAGACGAAGTTGGCGCTCGAAGCAGCTGGCGGCTGGGAGCAGTGTGACCGCTGCAACACCCGTTTCCAGGTCTTCTCGGAGCGGCGAGAAGAAGATGGAGCGCTCACAACGGGAGGGCAGTGCAAGCATCACTGGGGGAGGCGCGTTTTTCCAAGGAAAACAAGAGGGGTCGCCCCAGAGCCTACAAAGTTCAGTTGCTGCAATGGGGAGGTGGGGTCACCGGGCTGCACTACACATCCTACCCACGTGTACAACGTCAAAGACCCAAATCGACTGTCACTTATCATGCCGTTTGTAGAAACGCCGGAGAACGACAAGGTCCCGAAGGACACCGCTGTTTGCTTCGACTGCGAGATGGGCTATACCACCAACGGCCTTGAGATGCTTCGTCTCACAGTCATCACATGGCCACAACACAAGCCTCTTGTCGACGTACTGGTCCGCCCACTTGGACACGTCCTGGACTTCAACACCCGCTTCTCTGGCATCACCGCAGACCAGTTCCTGAACGCGAAACCATATGATTCAGACAACCCAAAACCCGTCCGCAAAGACCTACGTATCGTCAACTCTCCCCATGCAGCAAGAGAACTCTTTCTCTCTCACGTCTCTCCCACCACCCCGGTCCTTGGTCATGCCCTCGAAAACGATCTCAACACTATTCGCCTCGTCCACCCCACCATCATCGACACCGTACTCCTATATCCAAACCCCAGCGGTCTCCCCTTTCGATTCGGCCTGCGGAAACTAGCGTCAGATCATCTTGGCGAGCAAATCCAACAAGGAGGCGCTGCCGGTCACGACAGCTACGAGGATGCGCGCACCACGGGCGAACTAGTCCGATGCAAGATCAAGGAGAGGTGGAAACTTCTCAAGATTGACGGCTGGCAGATTAGAGACGACGGCGTTTATCCGCCTATGCCGGCTGAGAAGCCGCCGGAGCATGTACCAGTGGCGCCATCCATGGTGCCAGAGGCGAAGATGGCGGTGTTAGAAGGAAATCCGGCGCAGAAGAGGAAGGCGGAAGATGAGAAGGGTGACGAAGAGCCGGAGGCGAAGGAGCAGGGATGAGTATGCGGTGGTAGTGCGGTTCCTGGCGTGCGAAAACAGAGGCAAGGATGAGCGGAAGGGTGATATGATTGGTTATGTACATATGCATTATATTGCAGCATAGCACTTCATGTAAGGAAAAATCCGAATACTATGGAGCCTACATCAATGTAAAAGCGTGCAAAGCAGGTGACCGAACGTCAATGTAGGCTCTAGACCTGTTTAACTTTTTCTTTGTATGAGGTGGTAGCGCACACGTGTTTTGATGTAGTGAGAGGACACCCGCATTAGCATGCGGTGGGGCAGGAAGTATGATTTTGGTGTGGAAATGCGGGATGACTTCCCCATTCTGTAGCTATCCCATAGACCACCTTCTTGAGCAGCCCTAGCCCTTATACATCCGCGACTTGCATTCTTCCTTGTCGATCTCTTAGTCTCCCCCTAGTGCGTGTGCTGGGCTCGTCTATCATCATCATCGTCGTCCTCGTCGCCTCCTCAACGCTTCTCTCGTCTTCCCTTTCTTCCCCGGTCTTCCGCATCGCACCTCCCAGCCTTGCAGATCTGCACTTGAATACTGTTACTTCCCATACCTCTCCTCAGCCCACTTTCTCCCTATCCAACCCCTGCACCCCGTCCAACCCCTCCTTCGTAGCCTCATACACAACATCTGTATCTAGATCCTTCATCACCCCTATCACAACGCCTATGCTCTCGATGAACCCGTTCACCGCGACGCGCAACATGCGGTTTGTGGTTGCTGCGTAGTTTACTTGTAGGACGCTTTGCTCTGTGGATGAGGATGAGGGGGAGGGTGGTGTGATGAGCGTGAATGCGCGGCGGACGAGGGGTGAGAGTTCGGCGTCGACGGAGAGGGCGCGGGAGGCGGTTGAGGCGAGGTGGGGGGTTGGGAAGGGGATGTTTAGGGTGCTGTGCTGGTGTTAGTAAGATTAACTGCATTTGATATGGGCTGAAAGCGTACAGGGTGCAGGGGAAGTCCTCTGCTTTCCAATCTTTTTGGTCTGCCATGTTGCTGTGCCGCTCGTGGTCTTTGTCTGCTCTGCAACGTCTGTGGCGCCGAACGAATATGTGTTCGAGTATGATATACCTAGTCGGGTTCTCTGACAGTCTTCGATGTCGATTTCGGCACGATGCGCGTTCAAGGATGCTAGCCTGGGCCCGTCTTCGCGATGAGGCTCAAATCGCGAAATGTGGGGGAGGGGTAGATGCCACCCCCATGCGGTAAGGCGCGTCCGGTGGAGCTATGACCCGCATGCCGCCAGCCATGCCAGGTACAATTGGAGAGAGCGTCATACATCATCATTGCTAGCTGAAATGTGCAATCGCGTCATGCGTCATTTGCTTTTGCATACCTCGGTCTCTTCTAGATTTTTGCTTCCTTATATCCATCCACCCTGACTTCAATCATCAAATCGACCCAATTGACACATACACAACCTCGCCTTCAACCCTCACCACCTACGTAATAGACAGCTCCAAGCTCGACGAGCCAACCCACCATGTTTCGCAACAGCATGATCCGGTCCACCAGGACCCTCCGCCTCACCGCCCCATCCGCACGCCCTTTCTCCATCTCAGCCTCAAAACGCGTCGAGCAATACCCCAACAACCTAAGCACCAACTCAAAGACCAAGACGGACAAATACGACAGCGATAGCCCGCACGCGGTACAAGAGAAGGTCAAGCAGGGCGACACACACAACGTCCAGGAGAGCAATGCAAAGGCAGGCATAGAGTGAGTGGTTTCCAGCAACATACATACGGGGACGGAAGGCAAAGAACGTGGCTTATCGCAACATACGGCTAATACCATGAAGCAGCGCACAAAAAGAGGGCAGCGGTGGTCATGCGACTGAAGGAAAGGACTCGGCTGGTGGGAAGGAGAAGGCGAAGAAAGAGTTCCCCGAGGCGCCCGACCCAGCTATTGGTATGCAGGATGAGAGGGGTGGACGGGGTGGTTAAGTGCGCCTAGGCGTGCCGGGGTACGATGTAGTCTTCGAGCGTGTGTGCTTACGTTTTTCGATAAGTCTGCTCGTCTGCCTGGTGTTGTGTTCGATCAAGATCACAGGTTATGATGTTCGGTCGAAGATCAATAACCTGTGATCTTGATCGAACACAACACCAGTCAGATGAGTACATTCGTTGAGACGCCTAAGTGCATACAAAGAAACCGCATTGGAGGACGAGACTAGAACGAAGGCAGAGCGTGTTGATCGAGGTCTAGGAATCAACATAATACGAAGAGATATTGCCAAGTCTGCGGATCCTACCATGGTGGCTTGTTGGTGTGAAGTATCGGATAACTACAAAATGCATCACTACCATTCAGAATCGGATACCGATACTGATCCGGCGATGCTCGCCGTACTATCCGCTGTATGTTTTGTCGCTTCTTACATTCCAAAACATTTCGCAAGGGACGAATAAAGGAAAGTCCATGCGGCCTACCCAACGACCTACCAGACGATACGAACATGAAAGAAACCACGACTAACCAACACAGGAAATGCACTCGCAACTCCATCATTCACTGTAGGTAGATAAATACTCGGATCATCGTGCCTATTGAAATAGTCCAGCACAGCGGCCCATCAGCTCCACCTAACCACTCTCACTCTTCTCTACTCAACTCAACTCAACTCTACTCCACCACAGAGAAAGCACTCAACCAGTTACCGGCATCATGAAATTCCCAACCCTCTTCCTCGTAGCCCTCACCACCGTCGCGAGCGCGACCCCCATCATCTCCCTCGAACTAGCAGAACGCCAGATCATGACCGACAACCCAACCAACATCTGCGGAACATGTGCTCTCGTCATCGATCTCTACTCCAAGGTAAGTTTCTTGATCACAACTCCTCCCTTTACCCATTGCATGACAAAGACCGATCTGACAATCCTTCCATAGGTAAACCACTGCCTCCCCAATGAGATAAGGAAGAAACAAGGTGCTTGTTACGATGAACAGGTGTGCAAGGCTGTTAAGAAGAATCTGCTGTGCAAGGGCGCTTGCGGGTATTCGTGTATGAGCGTGTGAGGGGTTGGGCTGTTGTACAAGGGGTGACACGTGTGCGTCCGGAGTAGCTTCCAATGGATTGGTAGGGGACTCGTTTGTTAAGCTTATGGGTATGGTTGGGTGAGATGGGCGGATGGGTATCTAGGGTGGGTGATTGTGATAGTGATGAGGATGTGATTGATACATCTTGACGGATTGTTTGTTACTTTCTTTCGCTCGCTTGGATATAGCTTTCCTTTTACCATTTATCTACGTTCCCTGATCTACAAGTCCACTTCCCTTCATATCTCTATCTCATTCCAATCTTCAAGAACCGCTGTCTTGAACATGGCTCGTCTCGCATCCTCAACAACCCTCTTCTTCCTCTTCGTTACGACAATCGTCGTAGCGCACCCACTCGCGGCAACCCCTCCTCTCGACCAGCCAATCCCGAATCCACCCTCTTTCCCACCTATCTATCACAAAGGTCCGGTCGCGAATGTCCCTAGACATGAGGCGCACACATGCAGATATCATACCGGGTACAACTGCTAGAGTGAGTCTCGTAGTGTTCCGATGCCAGGTAAGGATATAGCATGACGCTGTAGAGAAGGAATAATGGGAAATGAGCTGATGTCAACATAGTGTTGTTGCGACGGTGCTGTTCGACGTGTTTGAGAGGATGAGTGCGAAGTTCGCGGGCAGCATCTTTGGTATATGAACGAGTGGCTTTCGGGTGTTGTGGCGTGGACTAGATCGGCTGATGTTGGAGATAAGAGACTATAAGATGTTGGATCTTGACTTGACCCTGATTGTTCTGCATTCTTATCGAGAAGAGATGAGGGAAATGAAGCAATCGTCCACTGATATCCCTTTCTGTTTGAGAGCCAACAAATCCCGCCATGATACAGGCTTATGACAGTCGCTTTACATGATGAAAGTCTGCACGTACTCCCGATACATCAAGATACCAATCGTCCTGCATAACACCCACCCTTCACTCCTGCAATACCTTGGTGACCCTCAGATTGACGCCGAAGTTGTAGTCCTTGTCAAAAGCCAGACCAAAGTCTCGATCAGGCGTGATGTTCTCGATGGAGGAATCTACAAGCTCCAGGTCAAAGTTCTGAACCATAGCCGCGATGGTGAGGTACATCTCTGCGTATGCTAGGCTAGACTCCGTTAGTATAAGTCTAATGTACTCAAAGGTATAATGACTTACTTGATGCCAAGGCAAGCTCGGCTGCCCTTCGAGAAGGTAACGAGATACTTGTCGAGAAATTCTCCGCGGGCTTTGGCTTCGATCCATCGCTCGGGTCGGAAGATATGAGGATCTGGGAATACGTCGGGGTGGTTGTTGAGTAGATACGGGGATGCGCCGATGATGGTCTTGGTAGTGTTAGACAATTGAAGCCCCAAAATGAGTGTCATACTTACACCAGATGGGATGAGCAGGTCCTTGTAGGGAATAGGCTCCACAACCACGCGTGGAAAGCGGCCTGTGAAGCAACACTGGAAGCGGAGAGACTCGTTGATGACGGCTGTCTAGTCTTTGTTAGTCGTTACGACTGAGTGTGGCGATCGACTTACCAGATACGGCAGAGCCTCGAGCTCAGTCAAGGTCGATGTAGGATGAGACTCCAGCTCCACTCGCAGCTTCGCCAATATACCGGGATACGTGAGCAAGTAGCACATTGCACAAGTCAGAAACCGAGCTGTAGTATCCACCCCAGCAAACAAGATGAGCGTGCCCTCATCCTTCAATCGCTGCAACGTCTTTTCTTCTTCAGGAACTTTAGAGCTGAGTAGCGCATCGAATATCGTCCTAGGCTTGGCCGGCTCCACTCCTTCTTGGCTCTTCTTCAGCGCCTCGATGGAGTATCTCGTGATTCGGTTATCAAAGTCCAACCAGCTGACGATAGACGGGTTGATACGGGTGATCAACCAGGCCGGAATACGCATCAGAACCGCATCCATGGCCGGAAAGAATTTGCGCAGGTTTAGAGTCAACGCTACGCCTTTGACGTCTCGCTGGAGCTCACATGGTAATCCAGGCTTATCGAGGTCGCCGAAACTCTCTCCGTACGCGTAGTGCGAGATGATGTCAACCGCGAGGCTGCCAAACATGAGATGTCCGATGAGTGTCTCTTCTGTACGGTAGGCCTGTTTCATCAGCATGACCAACTTATCGACTTTTGACTGGACAACAATTTCGAGATCAGAGATGGACTTCTTGGAGAACATGTTGGCGATGTAACCCCGACGTTGGCGGTGCAGGTCGTGATCTTTGGTGGAGACCACAGACGTAGCTACGGTTTGTGAAAGCTCGGGGTGCTCTGCAGAGGTAGAGGTACGAAGTCAGTATATGTCTCACGTGCACTTCGTACAGTCAAAACTCACTGTTCATTTTCCGTCCAGCGCCTGAGTAGATCTCGGTGTAGAAGAAGGGATCGTTTAATGAGAGATGGTCCGGATTGACTCGTACGAGGGGGCCTGCATGCCATTAGCCAATGCCTTTTGTGTGGATTGCGTCTCGTGTCTAGTACCTACCATATTTCTCATGCATTTGAATGACCTTTTTGAGATACTGCCCACCTTGCAGGACGTCGTAGTAGAACTCCGCCAGATATGACGCCGTCGCCCACCACGGACCGGGAAAGTGAGCCAATGGGTGAAAGAAGACATTGTAGAAAATTTTGCTGGACCAGTACGTCAAGGCAAGTGCGAACAAGCCTGTGAGTATGCTGAGTCGATCAAGCTCCATACTCGAGGCCAATCGACAGTCGTCGTGATCGCGTTAGTGTTTGAGAACGTAAGGAGGACACACAAAGTGCTTAACGTGCGTGGTCGAAAGAACGGTAGATAAAAAATTTGGGGGTTACACGACAATCACACGGCAAGACTGCGCCACATCCGAAAAAGGAAGGTCCCTCCCTTCACTGCTCCTTGCCAGCCCTGCGTTTGCGTATGCGCACGGCTATTTTCTCCTTCGGACGCACCAGTCCAAAAGCCGACTCCCGCAACTCAGGCATCGCTGCATCGATCAAATCCGGATCGCATAGCTGTATCTCGAACTCGTTGAATAGAAAAGCCATAGTCGCTGCTTGCATGGCTCTGAAATAATGGCTAGCAAGGTCGAACGCCATCTTGTCACCGATTGTAGGGACCAGCAGCTCGAGATCTTGCGCGTCGAATCTCGCCTCATTCATGCTACTGCGGCTCTTTCGCTGACCCTGTGCCTTTGAAGTGTCTTTCTCAGGGATCAAGAAGCGCTCAGCCCAGAATTCCTCCAGTGGTTTTTCGACAGTGCGTGGCCGCGCCTTTGCCCACACTTTCGTGTTCAGTGCGAGATCTCGCGAAAACGAAATTCCATTGCAATCTTTGGGAAGTATCCACTCGCTGTCAAGGGCGATATCAGCCCTTGGGATAGATATCATATACTTTGCCACGCGGAGACGGCTGACCTCTGCCTGCAGAGACTGGAAGAGGGGCCTAGCTAGAATCCTATTCACATCATACGCGGCCGCTTTTGTCGGCTTGCCTGCGGAGGCCATCGCAGTGATTTGTTCGGCTAGGTATGGTTTGCGTAGCGATTCGATCGTGGTCCAAATGGCGCAAGGGACCAATTCCACATTCGAGCTATAAGCAGGTCAGCACGACTGTGCGAGCCAGGGTAGTATAGTTTCACGGAGCATGCCTACTAGTGCAATACGTCTAACATCTCCGCGATTCTTGCCTCAGAAGGTAGCTGGCTGCTCGCAATCATGTTATCAAGTTCTTGGATGAACTTCGAACCCCTATGCTCATCCAGATCTGCGTCGTCAGGTCCAGTCTTCGCGAACTCGGTGCCACTGTGGTTGACTTTCAGCCACTTTTCGACGCCCTGCCATAGCCGGTCGAGCGACTCTTTGTAAGGTGGGGTCCTGAACAAATCATCTGTTGATAGGAAGCCTTGGATAGCTTCTTCGAACTTCCAGTAGTCTTTTATGAGGCCAGGATACTGCTTGAGGATGGCGGAGCCAAAGAGCAATTCCACAGAGCACCTTGTAAGGACTTGCTCGAGGAACGACCAGACGTCTTCTATCTGGGTCCAGCTGCTGACTTGAAACATCTTATCGTTCATGTTACGCGACAAGATATCGGTATACAGGTTGGTCATGGTGGCCAGCGAGCTGCCTTCCAGATACTTGCATGTTGTCACGCCACGCTCAAAGCTGATATCTCGCATGTGGGCAGCGGCGTCGTCATACTTCTTCTCAAGGTCTTTGCGAGAGAGCACAATTACTTCGTGCATATTCCTCCTTGTGATGACTGGCCTACATGCTTGCATGGCCTTCTTCACATGTTCCGGGTCTCGAAGAACGGCGAAATTCAAGATGAGGAACGGCGCGAACCGTCCATATTCTTCACTGAGATGTGTCAGTACTTTCCAACCACTACCAAAATGGATTTACATCAGCTTCGCGAAGTACTTCTGCGTTCCATTGAACACGAAGCCGAGATAATGGGAAGCTATTAGAACAGAGTAGGGAATCGATGGTGGTAATTTCCCGGACGACTCCTTGTCCTTCACGACTGAGTAAAAAATGAATGTTGTAAGATAGTAAGTCAACGCAGGTGCGATGATTAGGAGGGCGAGTATGAGTACGAGGAGCAACATTGCGGTTGTGATGGAGATGGGATAGATCAAGGTACCTCCAGGGCTAGGTGAGATTTGACGAGCGCGCTATCTAGATGGGGTAAGTCTGATTTCCACGCGTCGCGCTAGTCCCCGCGATCCAACATTGCCTGCACATGTCCATGTCCGCAATGATGGTCAACCCTACCCAACGCTCTCACAATGGACCGACGCGTGCCAAATGCGAGATCGAAACAAGGCACTGTCGTTGAGCAGAAGCAAAGGTTTCTCCAGACCAGGAAACACATTCTATCGCGTCCAATACCGCCGTCAGAACGGTTACGCACTCTTGCGCAAGATGGTGGCATTGAACTCAGTGTTATGAAAGGCGTGCTTGATAAAGGTATATAGTCGTCTCACTCACATGCTCTACGTATTAGCACTAATGGCTACCGAACAGTCAACCGCGACCTCAAACAACACTCCCGAAAAGTCTACAGCCGCCAGATGATCGAGCACGTCGTCGAGCAAATAGACATCCTATACTGGGACTCCGGCGCGCAACACGCCGACGACGACAACGAAGACGCGCACACTTCCTCCTCTTTACCCGAAAACGACGCGCACACCCTCTACCAAAAGGACGACCTAACCCTCGACGAGAACATCGCAAAGCTACCAACCACATGGCCCGACCGCGACGCCCAAGTCACACAGGACGAATACCTCTCCTCCGTCTCCCGCCTTCAAGAACTCTCTGCACATAGGCAGACGCTTCAGAACAGGCTGAATACGTATCGTACACTGCTTTCGCTGCTAGAGCCGTACCGCAACCCCAAGGAGAATATACAGCCGAATCTGGTGTGGAAGGATGCGCCGCTTGCGTCGGAGTTGGCAAAGACGCGCACGCTGGCGATACGGGTTGCGGCGCGTGTGGAAGAGAAGTTTGGGGATGTGCAGGTTCCTTCTACGGCGGAGGATGAGGAGGATGTTGATATGGAGGGGCTGGATAATGAAGGGAGGGGGAAAGTGGATGCGGTGTTGGCGAGTTGGTGACAATGGGCGAACTGCCGTGGCCCCTTCCACTCTGTATTTTCGTTTGGCGTTTGGATATGATACCCCCGGTTCATCACCTCTTACATTGGCAGACAACGTTTACAAAAGAAATAGGTATCGCGAAGCTATTGATACAGCCAAGACCCTTCCATCCGCTTCAGCAGCCCAAGAAACATCTACGTTGCTAAGACCCGACCCCCACCTTCCCCCTCTCCTCCACCGTCCTCGCCATCTCATCTCCCACATCCGACCCCATCTTCTTGAACCCCTCAACCACACCCCTCTGATCCCCTACCCCCATCTCTTGACTCATCTTCCACTTGCCTCCCAAATCCATTATCTCAATCTGCACCCCAATAATCGCCTTCTTCAATATCTCAATATAACTCGATGGCGCATCATCAACCTCCCACGGCTTCTCGTAGCCCATGATATCCCGTTCAGACTGCAGCGACAGATCTCGGATCTGTTTGTCGAGAAAGGTACCTGTGGAAGGGTCTTTTGTGTCGTGGAAGATGGTGGCTCGGCCGTAGACTTGGACGGCGGAGTAGTTCCATGTTGGGACTACTTTTCCGGTTACTGGTTTCGTCTCGGTGTAGAATTTTGGGGTCACATAGTGGTGGGCTGGGCCGTTGAACAGGATCATGATGTCGCGTGAGAGGGCTTGGATAGGCTGGTCTGTGTCGGAGTTGGTTTGCGATTTGAGATGTTCGATTAGGACTTTGGCTTGGGGGTTGGCGCGAGCGATGTGGCCGCGGAGGACGCCGAGATGGGTCGAGTCGGCTTTGGGTTCTTCGGTGTCTAGGACCCAGGGGATGTGACTGGATTGCAAGAAGGGATGTGACTTGGATTCGATGGCTGTGGTGAAGATGCCTAATGGGTTTGCGCGGATGAATTGATGTAGTTTGGCAATATCTGCCTCGGCGTGAACGGCACGAAGATACATCGTGGGTGGCTAGTGGTTGTTGATATTGTTTACTGGGAAATGTTGAAGTTTTGACAATGTCAGTATTGTTGATTATGAATGGCCTTAGGACGTAAGTTCTATTGAGAGTATTTAAGGTCTCTTCTGTGATATAGATGTACTGGGCTCTCTATACGTAGACATTCTCGTTGCGTTATAGGGCGTGGAAAGAACGACATGGCGTCTACGGCGTGTATCCAAAAGACCCAGCCAAAGATTGTTTGACAATACGGAATACGTGAGGGCTAGATCGCGACGACCAAAGAACGAAGCGTGTGTATCCGCTGTTTGCCGGGCGAGAGTTCAGCTGTAGTACGGTAAACATACCCACGTTGGGAACACTTTCCATTGTGAGAAGTTCAGATGAGTAGAACACAACTAGTATGCGATAGCGACGACCTAAGCCGCGTTGTGTACTCAGTACTGCAACCGTAGCAGGTGTAATCGAGGTGACGTCATGCAGCCCTCGTTAGCACTGTACAAAGCGGCACGTTATACGGCGTCCTGCCTCGTATACTGACCGGGGATTATCGAAACTTTATCGCTACAAGTCTGACAGTTCGATCGGGTCTACAAGACCTGAGTACAATTAGTATCGTAGATGTCAAGAAGCGAAATACCGAGCCGTGTTGTCGGAAATGCTCCGCACGTAAGGTGGGGTTGAGTCCTGATGCGGTAGGTGCAAGCGACTATCCTGATAAACGCAGTACGTATGAGCGTTATCATCGCCCTTTAGTCCGGCGCCAGTAAGTATCGGTACAGGTGTCTCTCTGAACATTAGACAGACTGTATTTCATACCAAACTTCAGTCATCGCTGCAAACAGCGTACGTACATCGACAATGGGTTCAAACTGGGAGCAGCTTGCTGCCGACAAACGAAAGCGTATTGCCGAATCTATCCCCTCAGACTGGTTGATCCGAACAACT